CGAGCAGGGCCCGGGGGCCCGCGCAGGGCCCGCCGCCAGCCACCGCCTTGGCACAGGGCCCGGGGGTCCACGCAGGGCCCGCCACCGGCCGCAGCCTAGGAAAAGTTCTCTTAAAAGGTATTTCAAAGGGAACACTTCTCCCAATGGTTAGAAGTAGAAGAGGAACCGCAGGTCTGAATAAAGCAGGAAATATGTCTCCATCAAAAGAACACAGTGACTCCCTTCCTTTTCTTGAAAAAAAAAATAGAGTAACGTTACGAAAATGTGTGAGATAGAATTTAGAACATTCATGTTGAACAAATACTGTGAGCTGGAATAGAAAAGAAACAATGAACTACAGGAAATGAGAAAGTCCTTCCATGATATGAAGGAAGAAATGGACACACTAAGAAAGAATAAGATGGAAATATTAGAAGTGAAGTCTGTAATACAGGAAATCAAAAGCTCTCTCAAAAGTATTACAAGTTGATTAGACCATGGTGAAGATCGAATCTCTGCTGTAGAAGATAAAACTTCTGGCCTAGAGAAAACCACCAAATAGATCAAGAAAATAACAAAAAAACCCATGAAGATAACATATGAGAAATACTAGATTCCATTAGACATCCTAAATTCCAAATAATTGGTATCCCAGAAGATGAAGAAACTAATAAGGGCATGGAAAACCTATTCCATGAAATCTTAGAAGAAAATTTCCCAAGTATAGAGAGACACTCAAGCATCCAGACACAAGAAATACAAAGGACCCCAAATAGAATTAACCCAAGAAGATCTTCCCCAAGGCATATCATAGCTAGACTGGCTAAGACCACAGATAAAGATAAGATACTAAAACTGGCAAGAGAGAACAACAAGTGACTTACAAAGGTCACCCATCAGGCTAACACCGGACTTCTCAACAGAAACAATGCAAGCAAGGAAAGAATAGGAAGATTTATTGAAAGTGTTGAGAGAAACAATTTCAACCAAGATTATTGTATCCTGCAAGATTATCCTTCATATGGGAAAAAAAGATTAAAATCTTCTCAGACAAACAAGATCTGAAAGAATTTGCCAGCACCAGGCCAGCTCTCCAAGAAACCCTGAAGAAAGTACTGTTCCAGGAAAACTAAAGAAATAACAGCCAGAAACAAAGGAGTACAGGACAACTAAAACAATGGCCAACTAAAATGTCGGGACAGATCCAGTAACACCAATAATAATATTGAATGTTAGTGGATTAAATTCTCCAATCAAGAGACACAGACTGGCCGCATGGATTAAAAAACAAAAACCCTCTATCGGTTGCCTACAGGAAACTCACTTCATGGATGAAACCCACTTCATGGATAAAGATATACATAGACTGAAAGTGAAGGGTTGGAAAAAGGTTTTCCATGAAAATGGGAACCAAAAAAGAGCTGGAATTGTGATACTAATCTCTGACAAAATAGGCTTTAAAACAAAAACTGTTTAAAAAGACAAGGAAGGGTACTATATTGCAGTAAAAGGGTCAATTGATCAAGAAGATATGATGCTTATCAATATCTA